GTGTTAGGTACAGCTCTTTCCTATAGTCAAAGAAAGAAGTGGTTAAGAATCAGTACAGTTCCTGGAATCAATAATGCCCTAATCCCTTGGGAAGCAGCGTGGTCTCACAGAAATATCAGAGGTTCAGACTTAGGGCCACCCATCTGACTTGTCAAGGCTTTTTGTTTGTTTGTTTCTGTATTTGTAAATTGGATATAATGAGACCAGTTGAAGTCTTGTTGTTGAATAAGGGAGCATTTTTGAAAGTTCTTAACTAACTTGTTAGTTTTTATTCTTGATTGCTATCATTTCAAGAGGGCATGGAAGTGGAAGTAGGAGTGAGAAGAAACAAAGTTGGCAACAGTGAATTTTGCACAATGTACTTCATTTATTCAAGGTGTTGAATTTATACTATAGAGTCAGCACAAACATTTACAAATGAATAGAGATACAAGCAAGTACTAATATAAGGAAGGCTTTTGTAAAATAAAGCTTGGCTCATGATAATATTGCAGAGTTGATCTACAAGTGTTATGAAAAGGAAGCTTTATCTAATAATTTTCCATGAAAATTCCATGCATGTGGTCAGTTTTTATTGTTCTAGGGAACAAAATAAGAACCATTATATGTAAGTTACAGGGGGAGGGAGTCTGGTGATAGCTTCAGCTTTTGTTTAGAAAAGCATTTTCTAACAATTGGAAGTGTCCAACAATAAAATGGATATCATGGCAAAGTAATGAGTTCCCTGTCAGAACTTGTGTTCAAGTGAAGACTAGATGTTTATCTGTCAGAAATGTTGAGAAAAAGATTCTTGCATGGAATCAAAGTTGGATTAAATAATTGCTAAAGGCCTTTGCCTTTGGAAGATTGGAGGATTTTGACTCCATTTGAGATCTGTCTTTACACCAATCAACAAATATTTGAGTGCATCCTCTGTTTTATTTGAAAGGTTGAAAGCAAGTGTTTTATGTTGTTGTTTAGTTTTTTTTTTTTTTTTCCTTCCTGTGTGCTGACACAGAGCCTAAGGCTGTGAGTGTTGTCATGGCTTTAATGTCCCCATTTAGAATTTGAGAAGCTTAAGCCAGGTGTTGGTGATAAAACGAAAGCTCATCTCCTCTCCTGTTGGAAGGGGTTAGGTGGAGTMCCTGGCACGCAACTAGAGACACAAATGTAAGAATATGTTGCCGAGAAGTTTGCTTTAGTCTTCATATTTTTGCTGAAGAGCAAGTCTTTCTAGATAATGTCAGACCTCCAAGTTATTATGTTTAAAAAATGTTTTTTGAAAGAATGACCTACCTATTGTGTTGACACATGAGATCTGTGATGCCAGGGCACTCACTGATGGTTTCTTTTTCTTCTCTCCAGCCTGTGTCTGGCTGGGAAATTGTCTGCATGCCTGTGGCTTAGTCAAGTGTTCTTTCTTTCTTTTCCACTGGGGATTGAATCCTGGGACACTGTACCACTGAGCTGCATCCCCAACCCTTTTTACGTTTTATTTTGAGAAGGAGTCTTGTTAAGTTGCCCAGGCTGGCCTTGAACTTGTGATCCTACTACCTCAGCCCCCAAGTAGATGGGATTACAGTTCTGTGCCACTGTGCCCAGTAAGTCTTCTTTCTGCTGAGCACTTTTTTGCTGTTTGCTTTTTGTGTGCTTATTGTGTATTTCCTATTTCTTTCAGAAAGTTATTAAAGTGGCTTTACTGTTGACTCTATTTTTGAGAGAAAATTGAAATTCATTTTGTAGCTGTGTTCTTCATTTGGATTATTCATGTGTTTAAGTTATTTGTGTTGCTATACCATTTCCAGTGACCAATTAAAGTGAGCTTTGGAGAAGGAATTATTGCCTTTATTCTTGCCTGGAAGGGAAAGCCATTCATTCTCCTATGAATTCTTCTTTTTTTGGTACCAGGGATTGAACCAAGGGGTGATTAACCACTGAACCATATCCCCAGCCCTTTTTATTTTTTAATTTTGATACTGGGTCTTGCTGAGTTGCCTCGGTCCTCACTAAGTTGCTGAGGTTGGCTTTGAACTTGTGAAACTCCTGCCTCAGCTTCCCATGTGCCACCACACCTGGTGCACGTATGAATCCTAAAAGAATTTAATTCTTTTTTTTACTTTTTAGTTGTAAGTGGACACAATATCTTTTTTTTTTTCTTTTTCTTTTTAGGTGGCTGAGGATCGAACCCAATGCCTCACACATTGTAGGCGAGTGCTCTATCTCTGAGCCACAACCCCAGCCCGATAATTTAATTCTTAAGTGTAGAATGTAAGAAACTGATTTGCTTTATAACTTGACATTTTGAATTTGAAGTATCTTAGACCAAAAGTTTTTCATGTATTACTAGCCCTTCCTGGMAATTATGATATTGAAACTAAAGTAAATTAGGTATTAACAATACCTAGATTGAAAGAGAATATAAATAACATAGCTTATGCAACTGTAGTGAACTAAAGAAGTTCATCTTTAAACTTATAAAGGATCTTAGAATTCATCTAAACCCTGTGGGCAATCTAACTAAAGTCACTCTAGTTAATAATATATATATACAGATGTAGGTAAAAATAGTATGAGGTGGTAGGAATAGTAACAGTACGGCTAATGTCTGAAGAAAGGAGTCTAGAAAACTTCAAGAGATTAGGATCAGGACAGACCCTTATAAATAGAAAGGTGATAGTGAGTAGCCTAGAATTTCTGGTCTGCTGAGCCTCAGATTGGTTGCCTCAGTGGGTGATGATTAATGGTGGTTAATTTGTAAGTTCACTTAGTCATTTAATCRTTTATTTATCAGACATTTGTAGATTGCTTACTATATTATAGATATAATACTAAATGTTGGCTACAAATATGAATAACATATCCCTGCACTCATGGATCTCTTAAACTACTAGAACAGTACAATAGAGAATATTTTCTGTTTTGCCATTTCCCTCCCTCTCTCAAAAAAAAAAAAAAAAATTCAATGTTAATCATGATAGTGACCTGTTTTTTTTTTTTTTTTTTTTTTGTATCAGGGAGGATTGAACTCAGGGGCGCTTAACCACTGAGTCATATCCCCAGCCCTTTTTCATATTTTATCTAGAGACAGGGTCTTGCTGAGTTGCTTAGGGCTTTACTAAGTTGCTGAGGCTGGCCTTGAACTTGCTATCCTCCTGCCTCAGCCTCCTGAGCCACTGGGATTGTGTAGGTGTGCACCACTGTGCCCAGCAACCTACTGTTTTTCTTTTCTTCTTTTTTTTTTAAAGACTAGGTATTTCTTTCTTTCTTTTCTTTCTTTTTTTTTTTTTTTTTTTACTTTATTTTATTTATTTATTTTTATGTGGTTGTTGAGGATTGAACCCAGCGCCTCGCAGGTGCTAGGTGAGTGCTCTACCGTTGAGCACAACCCCAGTCCCCCTACTGTTTTTTAACTCACAAATCTTTGCTGTTTATTTGCCTTAATATTTCTAAGGAAAACAGAAAATCAGGTCTGATCACACCACTAAACAAGCTGTGTTCTGGGATGTGGGGAGGCATGAAGAAAAAGTATCTGGGAGTCATCCTTAGACTTTAGACTTTTAGGAGGAAATGATTTTGAACAATCATTTGAGACACATATTGCTATCAAAGATTCTGCTTTTGGCCTTCCCTAAAAGACGGGATTGGTGGGTATAGTAGGGCCCTGTGTTGTGGTATCTGGAGGCTTTATGAATGAATCCTCTAATACAGAACGCTATAAACYTACCAGAATTGGTCAGAGGTTGTTCTTCACTCTGTTATTGCTCCCTTAGCTGGTACTGTTAACCTCAGAGAAATGTTGAATTGGTGCCAGGCTCTCAGGTCATAGACAGTTTCTGCTAAAGTCAAAACTGAAAGAAGAGATCTTTTTCAGGGAACATATTTGACAGTATTTGTTCTGGGTAGAGGAAGACATGTTTGTGGTAGGCATGTTTTCTGGATTATGAAGTTAGTAGACAAAGATTGACTTTTGTTATGGACTTTTTTTGAAATCCCCACTTGGATTTTCGGAATATCTTATTGTTTTGGCAATCACTTTATTAAATACCTCTCATTTCCATAAGTATACTAGTGAACCTAAAATTATCCAATGTATAGTATTCATTCATGTATTCGTTCAGTAAATATTTACTGAGGTCCTGTGTGCCAAGCTCCATGCTAAATATCAAGTGATATGTGCTGTTCACRGTAGTGAACAAGACACACAAATTCCCTGATTTCAGGAAACTTCTATATTAAAAGGCATGGTTAGACAGCAAGTGATTAAAATAATTTCAGGGTATATCAAGTACCAGGAAGGAAATGAACAAGGTGTCATGTTAGAGACCATTATAAGTAGAAAGTTCTTTTGTGTTGTTGTTGTAGATGGACACGATACTTTATTTATTTTTATGCGGTACTGAAGATCAGACTCAGTGCCTCATACATGCTAGGCAAGTGCTCTACCACTGAGCTACAGCTGCAGCCCAAAGAGGAGAGTTCTTGAGGGTGGTRGTCTGCTGCTTCCCTCTTTAGTTTGGATAAGCAGACTCATCGAAGAAATGTAATACTCTAGAAAAGTAGAGGAAAAGCTCTAGTAAAAGTGGTTTGTGGTTAATGTAGGAATGAAGACTGTTAGTAAAGAATTAGGAAATAAAATGTTATTCTTCAAAATAAAATTGAARCTGCTTTGTTTTAAAATTTAACTGAAATCTATGAGCTAGGATAGTTATTTTCCCCAGTTGGTTAAGAAGCTGCTAAATAGCTGGGCTCGGTGGCACACGCCTATAATCCCAGTAGCTTGGGAGGCTGAGACAGAAGGATCGTGAGTTCAAGCCAGCATCTGCAAAAGTGAGGCGCCAAGCAACTCAGTGAGACCCTGTCTCTAAATAAAATACAAAATAGGCTGGGGATGTGGATCAGTGGTTGAGTGCCCCCAAGTTCAATTCCCAGTACTCCCCTCCCCCAAAAAAGYTGCTAAAATGGGGGCTGTGATCATCCTTTTCCAGTATAATTTGAGCCTTTTTTATTTATTTCCTTCTCAGGTGGAGGCCTGAATTTTGATCTATGCACTGCCTTCATCCAGCTCCCTGAAAGTACTTGATGATCACATGACCCTGGACATGGATGCTGTCCTGTCGGATTTTGTCCGTTCCACAGGAGCAGAGCCAGGGTTGGCCCGTGATCTCCTGGAAGGTAAGCAGTCAAGGGTGAGAAAGAAGAAACTAAAATGTAATGTTTATTGTTAGRATGATTTGGAACATGTAAGGTGATCAGGAAGATACTTTGTTTATAGTATAGTAAGTTCTTCATTTAAATTATTACTTTGTATATGATCCAACATAATTTTTAAAATTCAAATCCTATTTTTGCATTGGGGTAGCTTTTTCCACTGTCAGTTTATTCAGCTAATGTAAGTGAAAATTTACTTTAGTTAGAAACCAAAAACAAATCTAGATCTGTAAGACTTGGATTTTCATATTTGGGATCATCCATTTTCTTTCTTTCCTTTATTAACTTATATGAGTAATTCTATTAAGTGAATTAATGTTTTAATTTTGTTGCTTTTATTTATATTTATATATGCTATAAGTTTGATTATTCTAGATTTAAGGCCCTGAAGGATTGGAGTCATGTCCATAGGATTATTTGTTTATAAGTATAATTAATGATGCTTTTAGATGATGAAATTATATAATGGCACAAACGGGCAAGCTACAGAGGAGGGACAAGTACTTAGCATTCTTAGGCAATTTTTTAGATTGCCAGCCATTAGTAAGGTATTACAATGTGACTTTTGTTTAGCTACCCATGGGAAAAGCATGAATTTGGAAACAGAAGATCAGGGTTTAAATTCCAGGTTACTGATTTCAATTTGACTTTTCCCTTTACTTCATGTTTAATTCCTACTACTTTTCCCTTTACTTCCTATGCTCCAGCCAGGCTTAACTTACCACCTTTCCCTCACCATGTTAGGTTGTTTCCTAAGTGTGCAATGTCCTTTCCTCCATTAGTCTCCTTCTCATTCAAGATTCATCTCAAAAACCTCCTCTTTAACAAAATAATCCTTAACCATTCCCCATTCCTCTTGTAATGTGTCAGATACCTGTATATGTTCAATATGTATAAGATAATTGAGATACATTAGTTTATTCTTTCAACCATCCTGTTATAAGTTTGAAAACTGAGTTTCAGTGAAGTAGGATTTAAACAATTTGGTTTCAGAGTGTGGCTCTTAACAATTACATAACAAATTATCGCTGTATGTGTGCATGCATGTACACTCATGTAATGAAAGAAAAGTTGAGGRTGCTGAGACTGGAGGGACAGGAGAAGTCTGATTTAGGTCCAGATCAGAGTGCAGGAAGGCCTTAGAGGGGGAAGTGATATTTGTGTTGAACCCTGAAGTCTGAATAGGAATAGCAAGACAAGAGGATGTAGAAGAGATTATTTTTTGCTAGAGAAATAGCTTCCACAAGGGCCCTATGGTGAGAGAGAGTTTGCCATATTAGAGTAGCTAATAGTGATCAAGATAGGAAGAGTGATAGAAGAGTGATGAGAATCTGAGCAGCTGATTAGACTGAAAGGAAGTAGAACGTGTGGGAAGGGGGGTAGTGGTTGATAGCCTTGGTAAATTTAAATTATATTTTAAGTTCACTGGGAAGCTGGTGAAGGATTTTAATCAGAGGAGTGACATAATCAAATTTGAGTTTTTATAATTGTGTATTAGTTGTAGGTTGTGGAATGGATTAGAAGGTGGCCAGTGGTAAAACCAGTTAAGAATATTGCCACAGTTCATGTGAGAGATGATGGTGATTTAGACCATAATGGTAGCAATAGAGATAGAAGTAGATAGATTTAAAATATAATTTAGAAGAGGAATCAAAAGACCGTTTCTCATTTTCTTTTTGTGTCTCTTTTTTAGTCTTTTATTTTTTCCTTTTAATGTTAACTCTGGTTGTAGTTTAAAAAAAAAAAATTAAAGCTGGTGTGCACACATTTAATCCTAGTTACTTGGGAGGCTAAAGCAGGAGAGGCTGAAATTGGAGATAGCAAGTTTGAGGTGAGCTAAGTAACTTAGCGAGACCCTGTCTTAAAATCTAATAAAAAGGACTGGGGATATAGTTCAGTGATAAAACACAGTCTACCTGAGTTCAATCCCCAGTACCACAAAAAAGCAAAACAAAACATGAGAAACTAAATTAGGGAGGGGAGAGAGATAAACAGCTGAGAAACCAGTTAATTTCCCTCCGAAAAGAACAAAAACCAACCTCAGCATGGTGGCACATGCCTGTAATCCCAGACTCTCAGGAGGCTGAAGTAGGAGGATCGAGTGTTCAAAGCCAGCCTCAGCAAAAGTGAGGCACTTAGCAACTCAGTGAGACCCTGTCTCTAAATACAAAATAGGGCTGGAGATGTGGCTCAGTGGTTGAGTACCCCTGAGTTAATCCCCGGTCCCCACCCCAYCCCACCCCGCAAAAGAAAGAAAAAGAAAAAGACCAGATGAAAATTATGAGGAACTAAAACAGATCCAGTGCTCAAGATATGTTATTTGTTCATTCATTCATTCATTCATGAACTTAGGAAAAACTACCATTTATTTAACAAATATTTATTGAGTGCCTAAATTATATTGTAAGGTATTGAGTGCTTCAGAAAACCACAGGGTTTGATGAGGTGCTTTGTGATTTTAATTGGGCAGTCAGGGGAGGCCTTATTAAGAATGTGACATTTGAAGCTAATTAGGAGTTGTCTGCGTAGATGCATGAATGATTAGTACAGCTTAACTGGAAAATTATAATAATAAGAACAATAGCTACAGCAGTAAATGCATATATCCTGCTTTCTGCATACTATTCCGCATTCTTTTAACTTATTTCATCTTTATAACAGCCCTGAGGTATAGATACTGATACTATCATCTGCATTTTCATAGATAAGGAAATTGAAGCTCAGAGAAAAGGGTGGAAAAGTAGGCCAGGTCATAGAAATCCTTGAATATTACTCAAAGAAGCCTTGTCTTTATTCTGTAGGTAGTGGTGAGCCATTACATAAAGATTTTGATTATGGAACGAAATGACCAGAACTGTGCTTTAGAAAGATGAATCTCCTGGGATTCTGTAGAGTGGATTGGATGAGGGACACTAGGTGATAAGAATTGAATTAAGGTAATGGTAGATGGAATAACTAAAGTGTAAATAATTATGCAATATATAATTATTAAATAATTTAACTGGAGAAAGCAACAGGAAAATCCATTATAACCAATCCACGCCTGGGGCATTTCTTCAGTAGAGTAGTGATTCTTATGTTTGGGGGTATGGTTATCTTCAATAAGCTGATAATGTCTATCAATGCTTTCTCTAGAAAAATATGCACTCATAATTTTATAAACAACTTCAAGTGGCTTAGAACACCCTAGAGTTACACCTAGGCTAAGAACCTCTTGGATTCCAGAATAAGGAGACCTGGGCTTAAGTTCTGCTGGGCCCTGGTGCAAGCTAGCTGTGTCTTGAACAAGTCACTTCTCTAAGATTTTTTTCCTTTATCTATGAAAGAAAGTTTTTAGATCTCTGAGGGCCCTTTGAGTTTAGAGAGAGAAAGTTTCTAACCTCATGAAGCTTATTAAGGAAATAGACAATAAATATAAAGAAAATTGAAATTTTAGCTGGAGCATATGCCTGTAATCCCAGCAACTTGGGAGGCTGAGGCAGAGGATCTTGAGTTCAAAGCCAGGCTCAGCAGATTAGCGAGGCACTTAGCAACTCAGTGAGACTCTGTCTCTACATAAAATATAAAAAGGGATGGGGATGTGGCTCAGTGGGTAAGCACCCTGGATTCAATCCCTGGCACAAAAAAGAAGAAGAAGAAGAAGAAAATTGACATTTTAGATCAAAATATTTTGAAGAAAATTAAAACACTGTGGGGTTCTGGGAATGCAGAATAGCTGTATTTCTGGTTTGGCCAAACTGTGAATAAATTCATTTTTCTTTCTATTAAAAAAAAAGAAAATTAAAACAGGATAAGGAAAGAATAATGATTGCAATGTGTATTAATATATTTTACCAATTTTGATATCGTCTTTTTGTCCTCCAGTTTCTCTCTACTCTGAGTATATAGTTTGCTTTTTGCTTTGTTTCCTGATAGGAAAGAATTGGGATGTGAGTGCTGCCCTCAGTGATTTTGAACAGCTACGTCAAGTTCATGCTGGGAACCTGCCCCCACCCTTCAGTGAAGGGAATAGTGGCTCCAAGACCCCTGAAAAGGGGTGTTCTGATAGAGAGTCCACTCGCCCTCTACGACCCATCCTACAGCGGCAGGATGACATCATTCAAGGTACTGGGCTAACTGARGGATGTTTCTGTATAGGGAGTAGGAGGGGTGGGGATTGCTAAACAGATTCAGAAAGTTTGGTGATCCTTTGGAGATGTTTTCTTTCCTTACTCTTATCTCCAGCCAAACCCATATTGAGATAGTGTCAATCTGTCCAGGGGCCAGAGCCCCTTACTGTCTCTCTGCATCTTGAGTGTTATCCTGAATAAAGGCCTTCTTCAGATAGTGTAAAAGAAATAGAGGAAGGAGGATAACAATCTAATTATTGAGATAAAGCATATATAAGGGAAGAATTAAGAGTCGGTCACTGCCATCTGTCTCTTTGGAGAGTAATTTGTTAATATTTGCCAGTATCTATCAAAATTTGAAAAATTATATACTCTTTAACTCAACGATTTCATTTCTAGAAATTCATCACATATATGTGTATTTGTATGTATTTTACTTACTTATTTATTTATTTTTGTGCCAGGGATTGAACCAAGGGGCTCTTAATATTGAGCCACATCCCTAGCCCTTTTTTATATCTTAAGACAGGGTCTCGCTAAGTTACTGAGGCTGGCTTTGAATTGTGATCCTCTTGCCTCAGCCTTCCAAGCCACTGGGATTATAGGCATATATCTCCTTTAAATAAACAAATACATAAATACATACACATGCAATGTGACTATTTCATAATAATTAAAACTTGATAATTTTTAATGCCCATTAATAAAAAAGTGGTTAAATAAATTATAATCATCCATATTATGGAATACTCTCAGTCATTAGAAAGAATTAGGTAGAACTGAGTGATATTTTAGAAAAAAAAATCTCTAAAAATATATTCTGAAAGGTAAGATTTATTATAATGTATGTAGCATGCTCCTTATACTTTAAAAATAYAATTTAAAAAGCTATATGTGCTTCTGTGTCCCTAAAAATTTCCAGAAGGATATAAAAGTTTGTCTCTGTGGAAGGGTTCAAGAATTTTGATTGCAAGGGAAACTTCTTTATCCCTTTTGATACTATTTTTATTTTATTTTTTTTTTATCATGGTCAGGCAGACATGTGGTACTTTTTATTTATTTGTACTTATTTATTTATTTATTTTTGGTACTGAGGATTGACCCCAGAGGTACTTAACCACTGAGTCACATCCCCAGTCCTTTTTTAAATTTTGAGACRTGGTCTCACTAAGTTGCATGGGACTTTGTTAAGTTGCTGAGGCTGAACTTGAACTAGCAGTTCTCCTGCCTCAGCCTCCCAAGTTGCTAGGCTTATAGGTGTGCACCACCACTTTAAAAAGTGCACATGGTACTTTTTAAGTTTCTAAAAAATATTTTAAAATAATATCACTATTACTTCATAGTTGGTGAGGTGGCACATGCATATAATCCTGGCAGCTTGGAAGGCTGATGCATGAAGCTTGCAAGTTTGAAGCCAGTGTAGGCAGCTTAGTGAGAACCTGTCTCAAAAAATAAAAAGGGGTTGAGGATATAACTCAGTGGTAAAGTGCCTCTGGGTTCAATCCCTAATAATGGGGTTGGAGGGAAATTTATTTTGCGCATCTCATCTCTGGGAAATACTGAATCGAGAATGGCTACCCTACACTTGAACTCTATCCCTCTGTGATAATTATTACATAACTTAAGCCATGCAAATGAATTATAATACTACACTAAGTAGATTGCACTCACAGTGAAATATTGGTGGAGGAATTACAAGTACTACATATTCAAAACAGATGAAATGATTTAGGGCGCTATCTATATTACTCTTTATTACCTCTGTAGCATGTTAAGAATTGACTGTCCCTATAAATTTCTGATAAATAAGAATATCAAGAAAAGATGAAGTAAATAGTATAAATAGGTATTTTTGATGGTAAGATGAAAGTTCCTGTGTGCGTAAGATTCTGTTAATTTTCTTTTGTATAATGGAAATTCTTTCCACATTCTCCAAGACCCTGAGAAGTATCAGAGAGACTATTAGACTAARTCTAGTCTAATGAGACCCCATTTCCCTTTTCCTTCTACCAAACCACGATCAAGTTACTAAAGGATCAAGTTGCAAACCCTCTCATATTGAAAATAGAAGTGGAAGAATACAGTCATAGGAAGAGGATGGTGAGGCAAATTTCAAACAAGGGTAGAAAGAGGAATGTATATTTGGTGCTAATTGGTGCCTGCAAACATGTCGCTTTCTGTATTTCTTCAGTTTTACTTGGCTTGAGAAAAAGGGCCATGATGTTTAGAAGCTGGTTAGACTCAGTTTTTCCCTGACTGGAAACCCTGTCAAGAGGTAACCATCACATCAGTGGAGAGTTCTCTGAGTGGGTTGTGTATGTTCTAAGGTGACTCCATTTCTCATTGCAGAAAAACGCCTGTCTAGGGGCATCTCCCACGCCAGCTCCAGCATTGTTTCCCTGGCCCGGTCCCATGTCTCCTCCAATGGTGGGGGTGGGGGGAGCAGTGAGCACCCCCTGGAAATGCCCATCTGTGCCTTCCAGCTTCCAGATCTCACTGTGTACAATGAAGACTTCCGCAGCTTCATAGAGAGAGACCTCATTGAGCAGTCCATGCTGGTTGCCTTGGAACAGGCAGGTCAGTGAGTGCTTCATCTCCAGTGTTCTTCCCTCTATTCTGYACCTATAGATAACCACCTGGAAGGGCTGGCCTTGATCAATAGCTTCCAGTGTGTGATCTGATTGCAGTCAAAGGCAGAGGTCAGGTGCTCACTTCCATACCACATGTACTAAAATTGGATCAATATATAGAGATTAGCACAGTCCTTGCACAAGGATGATACATAAATTTRTAAAACATTCCATAAAAAAAGCAGTAGTCAGATAAACATGTACTGAGCTAGTGCTTTCTAAAGTTACAGGAAAGGATACAGATTAGACATTTTATTTTGGAAGTTTCGTATTTGATAGAAAGGAAACCATATATTTATGTAAAAGGCCTAGGAATCAGTACCTAAAAATCAATGTATGAAAGAGCACAAACTAATTATAATTGGCTGTGGAGCACCCTTGAGAACAGAGTACTATTGATATAGATGATGCAGTAGAAGTCAGACCTATCTATATGAACCTTTCCCCTTAAATCTATTTACTTTAACATTTGTGTTTGTCTTAAACTATTAAAATTAGTTAATATAGAGCAAGGCAGCTGGGAATCCTGGGAAAAGTTCACTTGTTAAAAAAACTCTCATCGGGTGTGATGACGCACGCCTGTGGTTCAGGAGRCTGAGGCAGGAGGATCTTGAGTTCAAAGCCAGCCTCAGCAAAAGTGAGGTGCTAAGCAACTCAGTGAGACCCTGTCCCCTAAGTAAAATACAATATAGGGCTGGGGATGTGGCTTAATTGTTGAGTGCCCCTGAGTTTAATACCTGGTACCCCCCAAAAAAACCCAAACAAAAAAAACTCCCATGGGAGAAAGACTGGAGGGGAGGTGGGGCATACTAAGGGAGTGTTTATTTTTCCTTTTGTACCTGTCTATATTAATTACATGCATTTATAGTTTTAAAAAAAGTTAGCAAGTCATCTGGGCTAGTGAAATTTAGGCCAGTTTTTCTTTCTGTAGTTCAAGAAAACTTTTAAATAAAGTTTTTAAATAAATATATTTATTTTTAACCAAAGTATTTCCTCCTGTAAATAATGGGAAGTATTAGATGACTATACAGAATCAAGGCTCATTTTCTTGGGTGTTTCATATACTTTGTCTTATTGCTTTTTTCTTTAAAGTCATACTACATACGTGCTGATATGCTGATTATCATATATGCAGATAATACAGAGTTGTATTTGTTATATTGATAATGGATTTATACTGAGTTTTGTTGCCACAGTATTTACAGATTCTCCTGACCAGAGTGAAGAAATCAGGGCCAGTCCAAGTAGCCAGCAGTTTCAATCTTAGCACAATTGACATCTTGGGCCTGATAATTCTTTGTTGCGCAAGCTGCCTTGTGCATTATATTTAGAAGCATCCCTTGTCTCTTCCTCACTAGATGCTAGTAGCAAATCCCCTGCCAGTTTTGGTAAGCAAACATATCTCCATACATTGCCTAAAGTTTTCTTAGAACAAAATTGTCCCTACTTAAGATCCATTGATCTAACCAGTTATGCTCACCAGATTCTGACTGACTAAWTATGTCTTAAGAAGATTTAGAGTAATAGAACAATGGTTTTATTCTGGGTAGTACTCCTAGGAGGCTAATCTGCTGTTCTTTTCTTCCACTGTCATGTTTCTCCAGGGCGTTTGAATTGGTGGGTTAGTGTGGACCCCACCTGTCAGAGGCTGCTTCCTTTGGCAACTACTGGAGATGGGAACTGCCTTCTGCATGCAGCCTCTCTTGGTGAGTCTTGAAAACAGCTTTCTGTACCCTGGTAGAAAGGAAGAAATTGAATCAAATCTTATGCGTAGGACTTGACGCAACCAGATTGATCCTTGGCAGAAGTTAGTTCACAGCAGTTTTTTGTTTTTTGTTTTTTTTTTTTTGGTGTGTGTATGTGTGCATGCGCGCGCAGGAAATGGGAGAGAGCCCTGTCCTGGTTTTTCAGTCTTGTTGAGGTGAACACAGGGTTTAGCTTAAGCCCCAGTCTGTGAGCTGACTTCTAGGTATAATGAGCAACACTAAGCACAACTCTGTGTGTGCGTGTGTGTAAAATTCGACTTGATAGTTATTCCTTTGGTGTATAAAAAAGATATTTTCAGTAGTCCTTTTGTGTGTGTGTATGGTGCTGTGGATTGAACCCAGGGCCTGTGCATTCRAGGCAAGCACTCTACCAACTGATCTAGATCCCCAGCCCTTCAGCAGTCCTTTTTGACACTTACTTACTTTAACTTACTAAACCTATCCATAACTCAATACATTATTTGTGCTTAGTTTTAAAAAAGTTCTCCATTTTCTAGCCATTCCTCAAGCTTGGATACTGATTGCTGTGTGCCAGATCAGTCTTGTCTGCCACTATTCTGTATTTAAGTTTGTTAGAATTGCCTCAGGAATGAGGGCTTCCTGTCAGGAGTTTGTGGGAAGTGTTATATCCCTCACTCTCAGGTTCTCAAAGTCTCTAAACCTCCAGAGTAGGAGCATCCTTTCTTGATTAGTACTTCTTCCCTAAATTACATCTAGAGTTTCTTTGAACATGGTCTTTAGCCTGATTTTCTTCACGCCAATGTCTGTGTATCATAATTAATAATTTCATGTACAAGGGGTTCAGATTGAAGCTTAGCGGTAGAGCACTTGCCTAGCTTGTTCAAGGCCCTGTATTTAATCCCGAGAACTGTAAAAAACAAAAACAAAACCACAAACCACAATTAGTAAGTGGAGTTGAGTCAGGTAAGGCTCCTTTATGTCATGCTTTCTTGCCATAGGGATGTGGGGTTTCCATGATCGGGACTTGATGCTGAGGAAAGCTCTGTATGCACTGATGGAGAAGGGAGTCGAGAAGGAAGCACTGAAAAGGCGCTGGAGGTGGCAGCAAACCCAGCAGAACAAGGAGGTAGGAGGCCTGGGGGGGCACCTTGTGTCCTCACATTACCAACTTAGCGAAGTTACCCAGAGACGAATAAAATCCAATCAGATCAGTATTATTTCCCTTGTAATCCTGAAAGTTATGGAAAATGCAAGTGACCTATACCATAGGGTAAATGCTCTCTGATACAATCATAAGAACTGGTGTAGGGAAGCTGAGACTTAAAAAGAGGTGTCTAACATTGTGCTTTTCATATGAAAGATAATACCTTCCGTGGCAGTGTTTTGCAAAATGAGGTATGAAAATTCTAAGGATTTTTTATTTTGGTTTTTGGCTTAAAATAAGGCTAGATTAATTTTTAAGGACTTATGTTTTCAATTCTTATAGAATGTTAGTGCTTAAGTTTTTGGATGCATATACTCAGTTTTAGATGGATTAAAAATTGAAAAAAAAAGTAGCAATAGATTATCTGTACTTTCCATCCTCATAACAGAGGTTGGGCAAAATGAAACAACCCTGTCTATTTTATGTGTGTTTATAAAGGTAATTGCTTTACTATTCCAATAATAGAATAGCAGAGCCTAAAATATATATTATCTATCTCTTTGCAGAAAAAGTTGACTGATCCCTTCTCTTTAATAATGGTATTATAATTTACATAAAATAATAGACCTCCATAGTCCCTTTTTTCTTGGTTCTGTCTTTTATGTTTATATCCCCTGCTCTTCATGTATATCTGGGTTTTTTGTTTGTTTTGGGGGGCATGTTTTGGGTGTTTCTGGCATTGAATATGAGAATATCTCTTCAGAAGCTTTCTCTGTCCTTCTATCTAGTTTCTTTTTTTCCTCCTTTGACTGTATTATTATAACTGGTAATGATATAGAACTAAGAGTTTATTTTATTTAGAATTTTTTTATGTCCTATCTGAGCACGGTGGTGCATGCCTATAATTCCAGTGGCTTGGGAGGCTGAGGCAGGAGGATCACAAGTTCAAAGCCAGCCTCAGAAACTTAGAGAAGCCCTGTCTGTAAATGAAAAATGGCCAGGGATGTGATTCAGTGATTAAGTACCCCTGGATTCAGTCCCTGGTATAAAGAAAAAAAAAATTATGTCCTAAGTTTTAAAATAGAAGAGAAAGATGTATTGTTTCTTTCTCAAAAATTATATCCAGAGAGCTAGGAATATAGCTCAGTTGGTAGAGTGCTTGTGTAGCATGCATAAGGCCCTGTAATCCCCAGCATCACCAAGAAACAAAACAAAGATTTTAGTTTTTAAAATTAGGATGATATTAAGATTAGAATCCTGTTCGTAATCAGCCAATAAATATTAGAAATAAATCCATGGGCAAAGCAATATAAGTGACATTCTTTTTTGGAGGGGTGGGTTACTGGGAATTGAACTCAGGGGCACTCAACCACTGATCCATATCCCCAGCCCTAGTTTATATTTTAGAGACAGTCTCACTGAGTTGCTTAACACCTCACTTTTGCTGAAGCTGGCTTTGAACAGACAATCCTCCTGTCTCAGCCTCTCGAGCCTCTGGGATTACAGGCGTGCACCACCGCGCCTGGCAAGTGACAATCTTTATTGCCACAAAACTTGGGGTTGGCACTGTGGAATGTGTCTGTTGTCTGAGCTAGAGTCAGCCTAGCAAATCAGTAGTTAGCTTTGCTTCTTCACCATTGAGTGTACATAATACCTGAACCTTAGATTTGACTGCTCCAGGGACAAGAAGAGGATAAACAAGAGCATACCAATTATTGCTGAGGGCCATTACCAAGTAGGTATTGACGCATCGTAATCCTTGCCAGTGTACCCCATGTTAAATGGACTTGCCTTGGAAATTTGCTGCGACCTC